CAACTAAACAGCCTCTGAAGCCCCAGCCTATTTTTTTAAGTTTATTTATTTGCTATGAGAGAGAGAGAGAGAGAGAGAGAAATAGAGGGAGAGAGAGAGGCAGAGAGAGAGAGGGAAAGAAAGAATGCCAAGAAGGCTCCATGCTGCATTATCAGCATGGGGCCCAACATAGGGCTCAATCCCACCAACTGTGAGATCAGGACCGGAGCTAAAATCCAGAGTCTGATGCTTCACCAACTGAGCCACCCAGGTGCCCCTGAAACCCTGCCTTTTATACAAAGGTTAGAGCCAAATGTGTATTGGAAATTTCTCATGAGAGTGGCATGCCCAAAGACAAGGTGCTCAAAGTCAGTACAACTTCCAGCGAGGAGCCATCATTGGCCCATTTGTCTGGATCTGCAGGTCACTCCACAGATATAAGGAACACGATATCAAGGCCACTCTTTAACTCTTCACTTGGAAGTGTGTGTTTCCTCTTACAATAGGCTTTCAAATCTCCAGGGGATCTTAAACACTCTGGGAGAATCTCAAGAAACCTCAGACAGCCATGATGGGTTTAGAACATTCTTGCAGAATAAAGCCAAACACTGAAACTTTCCAAACTCCTTAAGGACCTCTGAATTATGCCTCAACTGGCATCCAGTAATTCTTGCTATTTGACACCTCTGTCAGCCTTTGGGTCGTCACCAGAGCTCTTTGTTTTATTGTTCCAATCTGTAAAGTACCGTTTCTGAGGCAATAATAATAGCAGCAATAGCAGTAATAACCAAGAGACAAAGAACAGCTACTTATATTGACTCCTAGGTGGTTTGTAGAAAGTTTCTTTTTCTAATCCTTCCCAAACTCTCCAAAGTAGGTATTATTGTTGCTCATTTAAACACATGAGAAAATTGAGATTCGAAGAGTTTTATTAACTAGTTCCAAAAAACAAACCCATTAGAAAATTCTGTATTTGAACTTGTCTGTCTCTCAAGCTCTTGCTCTTAAGCCAATGCTGTGTCAACAAAAGGCTTCATTTACATAGAGCCTTCTGTAATAGTGTTCCAAGCCTTCTATTTTTTCCTCTTCAAAATCACCTAAGCATTCCACTATGTGAAGTAGCAGGGTTTATAGAGAGTAACGTCATGATTTTATGGTTATAACTTGCAGAGGGCCTGTCCCATCATAGTATCCTGGGATGTCTCAATGCAAAGAGCCCTCTGAGGTCACCAGGTTCATTTTGAGACCCAGAGAGTTATGACCTTGGACACAACTGTCCCTTCCTTCCTTAGTGCCCCCACAGTCTTCTCTTTGCCCATTCTATCTCATCTGCCCCAAATTTCACTATTTGACCTTCTATGAGATCATTTCTTCAGGGCAAAGATTTGGTTTTGTTGACAGTTTTGGGGACAATTGTATGTCTTGTTTTTTAAAAAGATGAATATTTATTTTTATTTTTGAAAGAGAGACAGATCACAAGCAGGGAAGGGGCAGAGAGAGAGGGAGACACAGAATCCAAAGCAGGCTCCAGGCTCTGAGCTGTCAGCACAGAGCCTTATGTGGGGCTCAAACCCATTAACCATGAGATCATGACCTGAGCCCAAGTCAGATGCTTAACCAACTGAGCCACCTAGGTGCCCCAGGACTACTTTATTCTTAATCATACAGAATTGATATGTCATGGTAAAAATAAAAACCAGAGAGTTTTCTGACAAAGACATGAACTACTGGATCCTGAACAAACATCTTGAATTGCTGAGGAGGCCTCCTTTGTTGTGCTTTCATCTAACTGAAAAGCAGGAGAACAATTATATTTTAAGATTACCCACACAGGCGATTTTTTCACACCGATACCCAGTGTGTGATGAATTTGTCTATGCAGTTGTGACCTCGTGAAAAGAACTTACCATTTTTCTGCTGAGAGTACCTTAACTGCAGTGGGTGTGAACAGTGCTGCTATAATAATTAAATCCAAAATCTTTCATAATCCTCCTCTTTCCCTAGAGTAATGTTCAGTATTAGCTATGGGTGGAAATGCAAACAAGTACATGTATATTCAAGAATAAAGCTTAATAGGTCAGTGAAGGAGCCTTCCTAGTTGCTTCCGTGACTTGTGTTTACCAGGACTTGAATATATGCATCCAATTGTCCTTTATTAACAACCAAATCCACGCCAAGCTTTTTGCATAGTGGGGCAGGGTGTTTAATGTCAACTGCTATGGATATTGATTGCCTATTTCCAGAATTGTACTTTGGAAGGCCTTTCATCTCCATGTTAGAATCACATAGAGTTGGTTGGAGAATAAGATAACTGCTGAGTCCAAGACTGAATTCTGGCTCTGGTGTGCTAGTTCTCCCTGGAGAAAACCAACAAGCCCATTTCTGGCTTCAGCTTTAAGACTTTGTGAGATGTTTCCAGAGTCACCATAGAACACCATGAAGCTTACCTTCAGGTTGTTCAGCAAGTGAAGATGAGAACAGAGTCTCACTAATACTCTGCTTGTGATTACTTGTTAATGGTATTCGTGGTGTACATTATTTCTAACTATAATGCTATATTTCCAAAGTAATGATACCCTGCCTTAATTTTGTGCTTTCCTAAAACATTTCACATGCTTTCATTCATATTATGTTCACCACTGCCCCCAATCTGTGAAAGAGTTTAATTATTATCCCATTTAACAGATGAGGGGCACAGATAAGGTTCAGAGACAGAAAATGCCTTTCCCAAGATACCAGAGTTTATGATTAGCCAGCACTTGAATCCAAATATCTTGAGTCCATGTCAGTATGTTTTGTGGTGTTTTTCATTGTTGATGCTGTTGATTTTATTTAATATACCATCGTTTGTAAATTATACCCTCTAGATATTCTCAAGTTCTGGCCAGAGACGGTCTGAGTTCCACATTTGCCTTCATGACTTCCTAGCCTGCGTAATCATGAACAAGTTCTGTACCTCTCTAAGCCTCACTGTTTCATGGAAGATAGGGCCAATAATGGCTCCCTCCTTCATAGGTTCCAAATTACAAGCTTCTGGTCAAATACTTGGCTCTTTCCCAGACACATAAATGAGTCTTCTGAATGGAAGTAATTGTTGATCATTTATTTTGTTCAACACTTGTGTGTAAATTAACACATAGACATTGCCCACATGTATTAAGACACGCACACACACACACATAGACACACAGAAAATGACACCCTTTCTGACCACCGTAAGCATTAAAATATTTGATTTCTATAGCTTATGAGAATGACACAGTCTTTGTTTGCCACAATGTGTTATCAAGAATTATTTGTTGGAGTCCTAAGCCTGCAATTGCAAGAAATGTGAAGATACATTTTGTCTTCTCTAAGATCTTCAAAATATCCATTAGTCTCATGAAGGACAGTCATAAATCCTGCAAGTTTAGTTTATCTGAAAGCAACTCTAACAGCTATCCTTCCCACCAATAATACTTTATATCAGTCTTTGTTTTTCAGACCTCAGTGAACATGTCCTGGTCTAATGTGGCTAAGCATGGGGGGGGGGGGCGTGTTTTCTTTTAAGAGTTATTGGCTATCTACTCTGACCCAAATCTCTTTCTGACATTTGAACATAACTTCTCAGATCATGTATTCCCTCATTTATCAAATTAGGAGTTGCCTTTTGCCTTCCAGTGTCCCTTCTGGAAAAAAACACACAGGTAGAAATCAGGAGATGGGAGTTTTAGGACTGGCTCTCACACAGCTAGCTCTGTGACCTTGAGCAAAGCGGTGGGCTTCTCTGAACCTTTCTTCCTTATCTGAAAAATGAGAGTGATAGACTGTCATTTCTGGGAAGACAGAAGGGAGTAAGTGGCAGTAGCAGCCCACATGGGAGGAAGGGGACAGTCAGCAGAAAGCAGTACAGTGATCCAGCTGGAGCCGGGGGTGGGGCAGAAGGAAAAGGTGTCCTTTCTGAGATGGGGTTCTTTCTAGAAAACTCTTACAGAGGAGGTGGGATCTGGCTGAGCTATAGAGAAAAAATAGGATTTACAGAGTTGAAGAAGGAAATTGTAGCCTGGGAGCTAAGCCTGATTCCGAGTCTGGAAGCAAGAAAGAGCAAAGCATGCTCAGAAAATGGTAATCAGTTCAGGGAGGGAGGCCGGGATTGCACTCATTTGAAGGCTGGGAGCGAGGTCTAAAGTTGCATTTAATACATAAAAATATTAACACCGATTGGTCTTGGAAGGCTATGTAACTGGAATTTTAAGATAATAAGTCACTCTTCCTGCTGTAGCTCAGGTTTGGGGATAGAGCAGGTGGCACTGTAGGAACAAGAATCTCTGTGTGCTCGATAAACAATTTTGAAAGTGCCAGTTCATCATCAAAGTTCATATCTTTCAGGTACCTTGCCTTAGGAGAGAAAGATTTCTCATCCACATCATGGGCTTACATCTCTTGGATCAAATTTTACAGGAAGAGATCAGTCATATATCAAAAGGTTAATGACGAGTCATTTCTCGCCCAGCTATTTTGTGGCCACAGAGCTGCCACAATGCGGAGGGCACTGCAAGGCAGTGGAAGTTCACTGGGCCTTCTGCCTCTGTCATCCAGAGAGCCCCAGCAGGCCATGATGGCAGCCTCTAGAGCCAGGGGCTCTTACAATGCCCCCGTTCTTTCATGGGCGACTCGGAACATCTTTTCCTGTAGAGATCCAGTGTCACGTTCCGTTCCACAGTGATTGATCAGTACATTTATTACACTTTCAGTAGTAAAAATATATAGACTCCAGTCATCTCTGGAGATGCTGAAATAGTCCTTTTTTTTTCCCCTTGATTTAGGGGAAGGTAGAGAGGGAAGATGTGTGCAGAGTATGACATAAATATAAGAGCTCAAATATCTAATTAGTTGAAAGAATCTTGGTTCCCTGTGCACCTTTGACAGAATTGCAGCTGTCAGATTGTAGCTCCAATATTTTATCCTCATTGCAAGATGTATCTGAGGATGATTTAGAAGAGACGCTTTCTAACACGAACATCACCCTGCTTTTTTTGTAGGATGCTTGAGGACGACCTGAAGCTGAGCAGCGATGAAGACGACCTTGAGCCAGTGAAGACCTTGGCCACTCAGTGCACTGCCACTGAACTCTACCAGGTAGGAAGAGCTTCGGGCTTGGGTGGGAACCTCGGGGGAGGGAGCAGAAAGAACGGGAATGCGTTTGCCATCTACAAACCTACCCTCTCTCTGCTTTATCTCTGGGCTTTGGAGGGAGGAAAAGAAGCAGAGATAGGCATGGTGTTCTGGAACAGGTTGAATCAGCTCACAGTTTCATTCAAGCTACAGAGAGGAGAGGCTGAGCTCTTGAACACTGCTTCACCCCCTCCCTCCACTCCCTTGCCAAACGCACAAACTGGTCCTCAGTAAGCCAGGGACTGTCTTTCCCTCTCTTGGACTAAGTAAGCATAATCTCAGGTGAAGTGTAACTTTCCTTTAGTGACTCCACTGTGAGGCTCACAGCCCATGCTTATTAATTAATTAGGGTATCAATGAGAGTGCCGCACCCCCCTTTCCCAGGTGCACCAGTCAGAGCACATGCTGAGAATTGTCACCCAGCATCCTGTAGGGTACACAAAGCTTCAGGCCAAAGGCATGTGGCAAAAACTTGCTGCTGCTCCATCTTTGTCTGCTCTGCATTCTAAGTATTTACTGCCCTTACCGCCACATGAGACAGCAGACATGTGTTTGCAGCATTTCCAGTGAGACTGGACTTGATGGTTTGAAAAGGCCAAGTACCATTCACGAAGCAGGAGAACAGCAGCGTAGTGTGTCGAGGCAGTGATGCTTGTGCGTTTTCTCTGTGACAGGGCTGTCTCCCAGGTGGGCTCCGCCTGGGTATGGTTATAACCTTAGATCAGGAATGCGGAAGGGTTGCCTTGTTTTAAAGCTGATACCTGACCAAGTTGTTTTCTATGGTGAAGTTGGCTAAGTCAGGAAAGTGAAAGCAGACTGTTTCAAGGGATGCTAGTTCACTGCTTTGTCAAGGTAATTGTCAAGTACAGAATTCCAGGTTCACTAAATATTTTCAGAAGGGTTGGCAAAGAGAAGCTTGGGAAAAACTCCCAAGGCTTGCTTCCTCCACTCTTATATACGGTTGTTGACCACGCTGGAACTCCTACTGTTTGGTAGAATTTTAAAATTGAAATCTTCTGCCATGGTATGTGGCCAACACTTTACTCTCCGTTACTTTCTCCTCCTGATTCGGCTTGCGTTTTCGGTAATATATAAAAATTGCATCTTTGCGCTTGGGTACCTCGTCAAGGACAGGCACCGTCGTCTCCCAGAGGCTTGCCGTCTCTGTCCTGGATGCAAGCCGTCCCTCTCCTCTGTAAACCATGGGCCATGCAGAATGCACACGGGAATTCCAGTGTCTGTTATTCCTGCTTTCTGCGTTTAATATACCAGTGACATGCATTGTGTTGGTAAATCAAACAAAAAATCGTAGATCATTGACTTTGACAGATGCAACATTACTTTTTAATGGGGATGTTTAAAGCGGTAATCAACAATAAGCGAGAGTAGATTTTGTGCATTGACTTCCTCTCTATGGGATTACCTAAATGCAGTCTGCTTTTTAGCTTCCCACGTTGTTATACTCTGTATTTACCTGAAGGATTGACATCGAGTCTGTTGGCCCAAATCATCTGGGTTTTTAGGATGTGTGTTTGGTGACTGCGTGAGGGCTGAGACCGCTGGATAATCCTGGTTGGTGCGTTGGAAGCTTTCTTTGGCGTGCTGCCCTTAGTCATGCCTCTACCAACAAAGCTTCTCATTAGAAGGGGAGCTTGAACCGGGAGATCTAAGGTAGGGCAGAATGACAACTTCTTCCCCCTCGATGGGCCCAGGAGGCAAGAACTAGATGCAAGGTTATAAATGTTTATAAATGAGCCCTCGGTATAGAGTTTGAGGATTCATTAAAAGGCAGGGAGGCTAAAGACCAAGAGAGAATGTTTGTGCAGGAGAGGACATGATAGCATGAAGCAGTGTTTGCTGACCTCTGGCTTCATGAAGGCTCACATTTGTTTTTCAAAGATATGTGCATCAAAATTATTTTCCTTTCTTTTTCATTGTGGCAAAATTTATAGAACATAAAATTCACCATTCAGTGCATTCATGAGATTAAACCTCCATCTCCAGTTCCAGAATATTTTCATTACCCCAGAAGGAAATCCCATTTACATGAAGCAATGATTCCCCGTTTCCCATCCCCCAGCCCCTGACAACTAATAGTCTAGTTTCTGTCTCTGCGGATTTGCCTATTTCATATAAATGAGTCGGGAGGTATGTGACCTTTTGGGATTGGCTTCTTTCACCTGCCATGACATTTTCTAGGTCATCCATGTTGTAGCAGAGATCAGTTACTTCATTCTTGTTTTATGGCTAAATGATATTATGTTGTATGGATTTACTACCTTTTGTTTATCTGTTCATCAATTGACAGACATTCTGATGTTTTCACCTTTTGGATAATATGGTGCTATTCTTTCAGTCTTGTAACTGGGACCATCCTGCTGCCAACAACATCAGGAGGTGAACTCAAGGCTCCCATTTATGGAGCCACTCTTGCTCTGTGCCTGATATTAAGTCAGGAGCTCTGTCTTAATTGAACCTCACCAGTAAGACTTATAGGTAGATTTGCACCCCCTGCCTGAGCTACAGAATTGCAGAAATAATTCTACTTGTGACAGGATGATGGGGGGGGCGGGCATATAAACAAATGCATCATGGCATTAAGTGATGTGTCCAAGTGGCCAGACCACACCATTGGTTTGAGCTGACGTTATGCTTAGAGACTTTCTCAGAACCCGGTAGCTACATTCGTGCAAACATAGTCCAAGAAAAAAATCATTAGCTTTCTGGAGGCGTTCTCAAATCATCTCAAATGTAATCACTGTACCTGGACTCACCTAAGGAGACCCAAGTTGTCCAGGCTTAGTGAGAGTAGATACCGGTGTTTTCCAAAAGCCCCTAAGACCTTACGCTGGGGTCTGCAACATAAAGAATCCCAAGAGAATGCATTTCCAATGCGTGTATGAAAATGAAACGCAGGATCAAGAAGTGTCGGTTTCCAATATGACATTTCAGTCCCAAGTCTCTCATCAGCAAGACAGCCCCTGCCCCCTGTCTACCTGCCACTAGTGCCTTCCACAGCAGTAATTACTAGGCTGGGTGGCCGCAGTGTACAAACCCCAACAGAACAGTTAGGATGTGTTTAAAGGCCAAGCATTATTCCTGCAAATGAGGAAATGGAGTATGAGGCTGGAATGGGAGAATTATAATATAGAAATTAGAAATGCCAAACGGTGAGCCATGGAGACGAAGGGCTGTTAAAAACAACAACAACAACAGCTTTTGAACAAAAGGTTTCATCTGCTAGTTACGCTTTAAAGTCAGGGATACACAATCACTTAGGCACATCGTTTCAGTGAAAAAGTGATCGTGATTGTACCCTGAAATGTTGGTTAAAAGTTTGTGTCTTTTATCCACATTCCCTACTGCATTTTGCTTTCTCAGTTGGGACTGTTTGGGAAGCAGATATGTCCATGGTGCCTGCTAAGGTGGTGTGGCCCTGTTTACAGTGTAGCAATTCAGAGCAAGAGTATCGTATGTAGTCAGATGGACACAATTTGAATCTGGCTCTGAAATGGGGGTCACAATAGCACCTATTTTATTGGGTCGCAGAGGATTTAGTGACTAAGTGAATGGATTTAGGCAAAATCATTTGACACTATGCTTAGCACATAGTAAGTGCTCAGCACTTTACACGATCATCAGTGTCATTGTCACTACCACTAATAATGGTCTAAAATGTCTCATATTCTTGGAATGCCAGCTGCATTACTTTGCGTTTGATTTTAAGGAATAGGATGTTAAAGAGAGCCACTAAATTAACTGCCTGGAAAACAGCCAGCATGTGGCAAACCTGAGTAAAAGAGTTCTGTGTTGTCCTAACATGTATTACCTGGGTGTGCCTGGCCATGAGAGTTACAAGTGTATTTGTGAAGAGCACGGCTTTTGGAATGGAGAATGAAAACGGTCCAAACACCACAAGCACTACACAAATCAGTGATTATTCTTCCTCGTGACCGTTTTAAACATTAATTGGAAGCCCCTTCTTTTGTATCCATTGGTACATAGATATTGCCCTTCATTTTGGCCTTGGTGTCCATTGGGATCTTCTAGGGACTGGACTGAATGTCCTCACCACCCTAAATGCCCCATAGGCATTCGTTGGCTACGAATACCCTTTCCTCCCCTTTGACCCCTGAGAAGTTTTAAACCAACATCACAGGGAGAAAGGCCAAGTTGCCCATGACACTGCGTCACGTCCTCCAGGAAAATTACACATCTCTAAACATGAGTTTTTCTTCAAAAGACTGATGTGGGTGGACAGCTGAGTCATACCTTTTGATTATACTTCTTACTTCTCCCTCACCTCGCCTTGGAGAAAGGCAGGGTATGTCGTGATGCTGTAGTCATATTGGCTTTCAAATCTCAGGAGCTTCATCACCACTTGAAATGGACATTGGACATTGGAATGTTTCAGAACAGTGTTTGAATTGTATACAGTATTTTGTAGTTAGTATCTACATAAACATCCGTGTTGCGGTATGCTGTGTGTTTAAAAGCTGGATATCACTATCATGATTGTGAGCTCCATGATGTCTGTCCATTACCCAGCTGACTAGTTTTAGGTCTCAGCCTCTGCTCTTGACCTCATAGATACAAAACCCCGCCCTGGCCTTCCCCATACAACACTTACTGAAATGCCATTTTCCAGCCAGACAGTGGGGCAGGCAGTGACTCTGGGGTGTACCCACCGGGGTTTGGCTGGAGCGGCAGGCATGGTCCAATCGACCAGGCCTCTCGAGAGTGTACACGTGTGCAGTTCATCCACATGTCCTCACCTTCAGTTTTCCTTCTGGTCAAATTTTTCTTCGTATGGTTCTTGGGACTTCAAGAACCCCTGAAAATGAGGAGTTAAACCTGGAATCAATTTTCATTTACAGCTGAGAGGCAGTTATTCATGCTGGCCTTGCAGCTCAATAAAAGATCTAAAGATATAGACCTTGTGCATCTCTTTCAATAGAGGCAGC